AAAAACCACTTCGATGATTGCTATTTCTGTTTAGCAAATATTAATGGAATCAATCGAAATAACCGCCATAAATGGACCTATCCCAATTTAGACTCGGCAATACGCCCTATCCCGCACTCAGATGAAATACCGATTCCAACATTTCATGAGCTACCAGATATCTCTGATAACGAACATTGTCCCTCTGATCGCTCTTCCGATGCTAATGAAACTAACAGTGACTATGAGGGGACGTCTTCAGTTCCTCAACGCTTCAATCAAAACGAATTAAATGATCTCACCAGGGATCTCAATTTATCGAAAAAAGCTGCTGAAGTACTGGCTTCTAGGTTAAACGACAAAAATTTACTGGAACAAGGAACCAAAATTACCTTTTTACCGTACAAGAGAAAAAGATCTGCTACCATTCTTTTCTCAAGAAGACAATCTTGTATTTTGTCACGAAATTAGGGGACTCATGAAAGAAATGGGACTTTCTGAATATATTCCAGATGATTGGCGCCTATTTATTGACAGTTCAAAGCGAAGTTTAAAATGTGTCCTTCTACATAATGGGAATAAATATGGTTCAATACCGTTAGCTCACTCAACGAAACTGAAAGAAGAATATAACACAATAGCTTTAGTCTTGCAGAAGATAAAGTATCACGAACATCAATGGTTGATATGTGTAGACTTAAAAATGGTGAACTTTCTTCTTGGGCAGCAAAGTGGTTACACAAAATATCCGTGTTTCTTGTGCCTTTGGGATAGTAGGGACAAAACACACCACTGGGTTAGAAAAGATTGGCCTCTGAGAGAAAACATGGACGTTGGGGAAAAGAATGTCATTAACGACGCTTTGGTTGAAAGAGAAAAAATCATTTTCCTCCGTTACACATAAAGTTGGGCTTAATGAAGCAATTTGTAAAAGCTCTTGATAAGGATGGGCCTTGTTTTGAATATATAGGGGCAAAAATGCCTCAGTTGAGCACAGAAAAACTCAAAGCAGGGATATTTGACGGCCCACAAATAAGACAATTAATTAAAGATCCTGCCTTCATAAATTCAATGAATGAAGTTGAACGAGAAGCTTGGACATCATTTGTTGCAGTTGTAGAAAATTTTCTAGGAAAACATAAAGCTGAAAACTATGTTGAAATTGTTAACAAGATGCTGAACAGCTTTAAATCATTAGGGTGCAATATGAGTATAAAAGTACACTATCTAGACAGCCACTTGGACCGGTTTCCAGAAAATTTAGGAGACATGAGTGAGGAACAAGGTGAAAGATTTCACCAAGATATTAAAATTATGGAGGACCGCTACCAAGGAAGATGGGACATCCACATGATGGCAGATTACTGCTGGAGTTTAAAGAGGGACTGTTTGAAAAAACATTCAAGAATGTCGCGGAAAAGAAGTTTTAGAAGTGTCGAGTGACTATATTTGATTTCTTTAATGTTTTTTTTTTGTTTGTAAGTTTGACTTAAGATTGTATTTGGTATAAATAAAATAAAAAATTCGAATCTACTTTTGTTTATTACACTTGAGATTTGAGTTAAAATCATAGAACTCATATTTCTCTAAAATTGTATATCTTAAAAACTGGAGCTGATAGGGAAAAATGAATACGATATTTGAATTCAGGACATCAAACTGATATAGAATCAGTTCAAAAACCCTCGGCACCAAAACAGCTGTTCCCCAGTGTAATGGATAAAAAATTTGTATATGGGGGTTTTCAGATGTTCTACACATCTAAAATAATAGCGACTTTCTGGCACTACCAAATATACCAGAAATAAATACTAACTATTTTATTTTAAATGGTGCCCTATATTTTTATGCCATATTTGGTTCATACTCATTAAGTTACTTTAGTAACTATTAAAAAACGAATGGTTTTCGAGATGTTTCAATTTTAAGATAAAAAAAATGAAATTGCAAACCAAACACAAAATATAATACGGTTAGCTGGGGTAAAACTCTATTTTTTATAATTTTAATTATAATTTTTTTGCCATGTGATTACGGAAAGTTAAGCTTACTATCAAAAATTCTAGATATACTGTAAAATCCACCGGGTATTCAAAATAGAGGATTACTCTTGAACAACTTAGTCCTCTATTAAGTCGCTTATTTTATATAGAACATACTATATTTCATGATATTTGATACTTCCAAAATGTACGGTTTTCGAGTTATATCATATTCTTTTTCTTTTTATTTAAATAATTACAGGATCAAATTTGAAAAATTGTATCCTTTCAAATATATTTTAGTTATAAGGTATACTAGTATAGAAAGAGGATAAAACAGAGAAGCGAACAATATATAAAGTACAGCATATTATATTTAAAATACCCGCCTTAAGAAAAAATAAAAAGTTGTTCAAATTTGATCCATTAACTACTTGATAAATAATGAAAAAACGTTTTTTTGTTTATTGATATTGTTGTTTGTCGTATTTTTTACAGTTCTTACCACCATGTGGTTTTAAATGAAGTGGTCGAAGGCATAACAAAAATTTTAAAGATTTTAAATTAGATTTAATAAAATTATACTGAAAGCATGCCGCTAAGTGCAATTTTATAAGGCTGTTTTAAAAAAGACTGGATCAGTAAGGTTGCGAAGGCACAGGTAATTTTACTTTTTTGTATATTTTTTAAATAAATTTATTTCAATTTAGTATTAATTACGCAGTGTTTAAAAATCAATTGTAAGTGGCAATTGACACATTTTTTTAAATGACAAAAATCTGTGTCCGACATTAATAAAAGTTTGCAGGGTCGCATATGTAGAGCAAATGTCGTCTAGTGCTTGAATTGCGCCTTAAAATCTGATTTCTACAAACATTGGATATATATTTTGGACAATTATTCTGAATAACTTTTCTAAGTACTTAACATTTTTCGATAAAAAAAATGACTAACATTATTGACACTAAATTGTTTGTATATACAGAGTGACCCATTTGAAAGCGGGCCACCCTCATAACTTTTTGATTTATGGAGCGATTTTGACCAAATTTGGGCAAAAAGGAGAAAGGGGGAAAATGTACTTTGGGGCCAAGTGGCGTCCCATTTTTTTAAAACCAAGGGCTACTATATTACACTTTTACAGATTAAAAACTTTAAATACCATATTAGCGATTTTTTTTAGAAAAAATCTGCGCACGCCACTGAATTCGGCGTCTCCGAAAATGGGTCTCTTCCAAATTTCATGAAAAAATATTGAATATTAATGATTTTATGACTAAATCGCGATTCGGGCTGTTAATTATGAATTTAAGCTTCTTATCCAGTAATCCATGTAATAACAAATGAATGTTTTAATTTAAATGTAATTTTCGATTATTTATAATAAAATACACATTGTATTTAATAAATACAAATTTTTTAATATTTTCTTAATAACGCTCTTTTTTTGTAACAAAATAATAATAACACAACAATGAAAGAATTTACATAACACATAACATTAACTTTAAATTCTGGGCTGTTCAACCAAACCTCAATTTAACTGAATACATTTAGCCATACATTAGCCATAACATTAGACAATTGGTTTTGTGTAATTTCAGCGAGTGCCTGTCTTATCCTTTCACGCAGTTCGTCTGCGTTGGTTGGACGGGTATCGTAAACTTTTTTCTTTAATAAACCCCCATAGAAAAAAATCTAAGTGGGTTAAGTCGGGAGACCTGGGAGGAAACTCTATTAATCCACTATTTCGTCCTATGCACCGAATAGGAAAATGCTCTTCCAACCACGCCCTCACAGTCCTGGCATTGTGGATAGGACAGCCATCTAACTGAAACATTAGATCAGCAACTTCTGCTAGTGGAAGTTCATCCCTAGCATCGGAAAACTCATTATTCAAAAAATTTAAAAAATTTTGGCTGTTCAAATTGCCTTCGAAAAAGAATGGGCCAATTATTCTGGTATTTAATATGCCGCACCATACATTTACTTTGTGTGAATACTTTCGTCTACAATTTATTACCCATTCTGGATTTTCTTGTGCCCAATGCCTCGTATTTTGTGAATTAACCGTTCCATTAGTTGTGAATGTTGCCTCGTCACTAAACAAATTTTTTGTTAGAAAATTCCTGTCATTAAGATATTCTCCTTGGCACCATAAACAATATTCCATTCGCTCATCACTGTCACCTTCTTCTAAGGTGTGCATTCTTCAATTTCTGCTTAAAGGGCTTCATATTGTACTTTTTTAAGGTATCTCCTTATTGTTTCCCGTGGTAACTGTAGGTCCAAACTTGCAATTCTTAAACTGTTTCTCGGATTTGCGGTGAAATAATTTCGAATTCGTTCATTATTTCTTCTTTGCCGTTGTAGATTGCCATTTTTTAAAATGTGCTTAGATACAGCTCCGTATCTGTTAAAAATATTGCACACTCGCCCAAGAGTAGACTTGCTAATGTTATGAAGCTCTGTGTAATTCTGTGAAATTCGATGTACTTCCCTTTCGGACCTGTCATTGTCACCACGAAGTTTTACTATTTAAATGTTGTGTAGTAAAGTTAAATTACCAGCCATACTTATTTGGTAGTGTAGTGTACTTAAGGAACAATACGTAAATTTCACTACTAACCTAACAAATTTGACATTTCGATTTTATAAAAACATTCATTTGTTACATGGATTACTGGATAAGAAGCTTAAATTCATAATGAACAGCCCGAATCGCCATTTAGTCGTAAAATCATTAATATTCAATATTTTTTCATGAAATTTGGAAGAGACCCATTTTTGGCGACGCCGAATTCAGTGGCGTGCGCAGATTTTTTCTAAAAAAAATCGCTAATATGGTATTTAAAATTTTCAGTCGGTAAAAGTGACCTAGTAGCCCTTGGTTTTTAAAAAAATGGGACGTCACTTTGCCCCAAAGTACACTTTCCCCCCTTCTCCCTTTTGCCCAAATTTGGTCAAAATCGGTCCATAAATAAAAAAGTTATGAGGGTGGCCCGCTTTCAAATGGGTCACTCTGTATATAAGCAAACCGCGGCGATAGCTCAGTGGGTAAAGTGGGTAAAGCGCCAGGTGAGAAGATGGCGATTACTCCGAGATCTGCGCGGGTTCGAATCCCGCCTGTGGCAATTGGCACCTGTCACAGGGTTTGGTTGTGTGTCCTACGTCTTTTTCATGTGTATTCTCCCTCTGCACAGTTGTAATAACTCTTAGAGGGAGAATGTCAATTTCTGTGGTGTGATTTATTTTTTTTATTTGTTTAAACCATAAGGCCATCCATAAAAACATAAAAAGCAACTTCCAGAAAAAATGTCTTTCAAACTGGATGAAAGATGGATAAGGAAATATGTTACAGTTTTAAGTGGGACACCATGTACATAATTTAATTTGCTTAAATGGGTAAGTACGAGTAAGTATCTATATACGTATCTAACTGTACGGTACGTCAACCGTGAAGGTATCTACATATTTGTTGTTTCAAATTAAATTACCTTAGTTTAGAATCAAGGCCACGCATAAAAAAGGTTACACTTAAACTTGGAAAAAGATTATTCGTGATATAAACAGCAACGAAAGTACAGTGCAGCACCAGTAACTTTGCCCTTGGCCGCAGTAAACAAAACCTGAAATCGTACTCATTTCTTTTGTATCAGCCGTGAACGCTTCGAGAAGTAGTCTGTTATTTTTATTTGTGAATATCTCTTACATCTCTGGGGTATGGGTATGGATGTATTATGTCGTGTTACGTTCACTGTGCACAATTCGAGGGCAAAGATATTCCGTCGAATTCGTACTGAATTCATATTCGAATAGAATTACAATTCAGTATTGTCTCCATAAAGGGGGTGTGAAGCAAAAAAACAACATGAACTGAAAATGTACCGAAAAAAAATCTAAGAATAACAGTGAAAATCCCACTGTTCTATTGCATTTATTATTTATTAGTGTCTTAGCGTGTGACGTCAGCGGAGCTTGACTGGCTGCTAGAAATAAAATTGTTAACCTAGACAAACACCAATATACATATATCTACACATCTACCACGCCGCCCTTTTATTGGCAGCTTTGGTATTATACTTACAGATATAAGATTACTGTTAGGGTTAATGTCATATTAAACTGAGATTATGGTAATTAAACGCCGGTGTTCGATTATACTAAACGTCTCCCAGTTATAATATTCAGGGATAATATTTTTTCGCCACTTCCTATTATATACCTAAGTAAATACCCTGTGAAAAAAATATGTTTTTAGTAATTAGGGAGGATTAAGATTTAATATCTTTCTATAGTAAAAATAGCTCACCAGAGTTTAACAGTTAGTACACATTCTTGTCATTAATAGGTGAATTAGCTATTATTAATTTTAAATGTTACACAATTGTCCAAATTTTTTAAAATTAAAAATAGGTACAGAAAAATTAGAACCTTCTGCGTAAAAACAAATTCACCGTTGAACACTTTTAACTACTTAACAATTAACCACTTTTTTTGCACTCAATGCGCATTCACTTTTACGGAGAATTTTTTTCAACAGCATGGAATGACAATGGATAACTCCTTGTTACCATTATTTCTAATCTTTTTATGACCAAATATGAATCCGAAACCAAAGAAAAATTCGAGTATTTCCCCAGGGTTTTTCACAAATTCACATTTTTTACATAGAAGGCTAATTTAAATAATTTTGTTTCAAAATTAAATGATCGTTTCCCCAACTATAAGGTTTACGAATGAAGTTGAGAAAAATGAACAATTACCATTTTTAGATTAGTTGTTATAAATTCTGAATATAAGTTAGAAATTGACCTACAAAAAAAAGTACCACTCCTGACATAAGTATATTCCGTATAAGTATATGAAGGCCTTCCGCTGTGTGGTTCATCTTCAATCGACTCTCTTCCTTCTGAGAATGCCTTAAACCACCGAAAAAACTGGGATCTTGAAACAACTCTGTCTCCGTAAGCGTGTTGAAGTTTTGCAAAAGTATCCGTTGCGCTGTGTCCAAGTGTGAAGTGCAAAACCTGATATCACACCGTTGCTCAAAATTAACTCACTCATTTTTAAAACACGCTAGAAAAAAACGGTTTACGAAAACAGTCACAAAGGACAAACAAATGACTCTAACAAGTTCAAACTTGTACTGAAGGTGCATTACATGTTAACCTACCGCCCTTTCAAGTCCCGTCTCCGCAGTGTTACTAGATCGGGCGCTACGTTGCCAGTCTTATTATTTAATTTACACACCTCGTATATCTATCCATGTCAAACGTCCATCACGTTCAAAATAAAGTTATCACTAGCTAACAAGCTAATATAAAATTACTTGGATATATTTTATATTACTTTAGATTTCTCATTTATGAAATATTCCCTTGATAAATTAAATTGGAAACTGGCTAATTGTTCACTGACTAAAGTTCACGCAAACTTATAGTAGGAGAGCTGGTAGACATTTTTGGGAAGGTATTTGAGGCAATGTGAAAAGTTGCTCAAAACTTCCTTTAGTGTTACCTAAGTACAAAAATGCAGACCTAGCTGATGGGTTAGGGGGCTTAAGCGACCATTAAATTTTTCAAGAAGCGAAATAATTCTTGAAAAAAATGTTCTTGAGGCACATTGAGATTTTAACACTTTAAAATTTAATATTTAAAGAGTTGAAATATCAAAAAGCCAGATCATTTGTCATTTGCCAGATCACGTTTTCGAAATTAATTATTTTTCAAAAAAATCGAAAAATGTACTTGAGGCACTTTGAAATTTTTGTAGGGTATTATTCGTGACTAAAAATAGTTATTTACAAAAAGACAGGTCGTTTCGGTGGGACATTTTACCCGCCAGGTGAGTGAGAATGTTCAGCGTGAGTGGGAGTGGGTAGTACGGTGCGCAAGTTGAAATGGGAGAGAACGCGTACCTATATCGGCAGCTGTCTCAAGAGGAAGCACGATGCAGTGTGATTGGCTCCCGCAAAATCACGTGATTAAGAGCATTCGTGCGGTCGTTTGTAAGAATTTTGGAGTATTTAAAATGTTCTTAGTCGTAATTTTGTTATTTTTTAACTTTTTACTAGTAACTTTTAGACTACGAATAACTAACATTATTTATGGGTATATTAAATAAAAAAAAAAAACAAACAAAACAAAATAATGCCATACCTTGTGGGGAAAGAGGCACATCAGAATTTCTAGATGAAGTGTCATGATATTTTTTTCATTAAAGCTGGGAAATTTTTGTAACAATGGGTATGATAACCGTCTTTTAAGTTGGAATTGGTTGGTAAAATAATGTAGTGTCTTTTGTGCAATTAACACACACTTTTTTTACACAATTATCACTATCCATTGCAAAACATCATCGACAAAAGAGGACTTTTATAAAAACACGTGTTAGATAAATACCTTGCAGTATACGACAGAACGTTTTAAATTCTCACTCACCTGGCGGGTAAAATGTCGCACCGAAACGACCTGTCTTTTTGTAAATAACTGTTTTTAGTCACGAATAATACCCTACAAAAATTTCAAAGTGCCTCAAGTAAATTTTTTGGATTTTTTTTGAAAAATAATTAATTTTGCAAACGTCTGGCAAACTTTTTGACCTGGTTAAATGATCTGGCTTTTTGATTTTTCAACTCAATTTTAAAATGTTAAAATCTCAATGTGCCTCAAGAACATTTTTTTTAATTATTTCGCTTCTTGAAAAATTTAATGGTCGTTTAAGCCCCCTGACACATCAGCCAGGTCTGCATTTTTGTATTTAGGTAACACTAAAGGAAGTTTTGAGCAACTTTTCACATTGCCTTCACTTTTCACCTTCCAAAAATGTCTACCAGCTCTTAGACTATTATTGTATAACTTGTTTTTAAAGCTTCTAGCATTACCTCTTAAAATATTTTTACGTCCACATCCATGTAGTGGAGAATATAACGTGAAAGGGGATATGGAATACACTTTTCCTTTCTCTATAGGTAATTTGTAAACGATACAAGATAAGCGCTTCAAATTTAATACATACGAATAAGTACAACATAGCAGTCTGTAAATTTAAAGAATTTTTAGCTTAATACGGTCATGTATGTATTTAGTAGGGTGATTAAAAAAAGATATTTTTATTTTTATTTTTTTTCAAACAGGCTTAAAAGTTCCGTTTTGGTGAAAAAATACGCCAGTTAAAATTTGAGCCCTTAATATCAATATTAAGATAGTCCGCATCGCACTTTTTATTTTCCATAAGAATAACATGGGAACATTTTTTTTGGCACCTTCTGATTTTTATTGCTAGCTAATAGTGTACTATATGGAACATTTTTTAACATGTTTTTGTCGAGAATTGAACGCTCTAAAAAAAAGGTCTCTTATGATTTTTCGCTAAGTCTACTGGTTCAAAAGTTATTCGAGGCCAAAGTTGAATTCACCGAAAATTTGACCGTTTAATTGTTCAACTTTAGTTTTGAAATTTAAAGTTAACAATGATAATTTTTAAAACATGTACTCAGAGTACGGAAAAAATTGGAGAAAAATTAAATACAATATTTTACTTAACGCAATTTTCTTTCAAAAATATAAAAATTTTAGTAATTTCAACTGAAAACATTTTTTTGTGTTTGATTTTTCTTTTCATAGCGAAAAATTGTTAACTAACATTTTCTAAAAGACCAAATTTAAAATTTACATAAAATTTTGGCTACATCTTTTCGATAAAACCATTAATTTTGTTGTATACACTAAAAACGGTCAAATTTGCTGTGAATTTAACTTTGGCCTCGAATAACTTTTGAACCAGTAGACTTAGCGAAAAATCATAAGAGACCCTTTTTATAGAGCGTTCAATTCTCGACTCGACTCGAAATATGTTAAAACAATTTCCATATAATACATTATTAGCTAGCAATAAAAATCAGAAGGTGCCAAAAAAATGTTCCCATGTTATTCTTATGGAAAATGGAAAAGTGCGATGCGGACTATCTTAATATTAATATTAAGAGCTCAAATTTTAACTGGCGTATTTTTACACCAAAACGGAACTTTTAAGCCTGTTTGAAAAACAAAAATAAAAAAACTTGTTTTTTGAATCACCCTAGTATTTAGCTTAAGAGGGCCATACTGTATAGCCAAACTAAATCATTATA